ACAGCGTAGGCTGCAGCCCCTGTGGCAGTGGGTTGCCATGGGCTACCGTGTGTAGCCAGCAGCCAGCGTGAGGGGCCAGCAGCCGCAGTGAGCGGCCGTCCAGAAGCCGGCAGCTGATCTGCCTCACCCAGGAAGAGCACAATGATGGTGCCAACTTGGGCCAGTGAAGCAACGTCCTCCACGACTAGACTGAAGAACAAAAAGGACAGCAACTTGTCTGTTCCCCTTCCCCCAAGTCCCCAGCGCTGTTCCCATCCCCCAATTCCCCAATAAAAATCTTTAAAAAAAAGAGGGGCTTTGACTTCCTGGACTAAAAAAGTCAAGGGATCCCTCTCTCCCCAAGAGACATAAAGCACTTCTTCCTCCATCAGTCACACAAGACAGAAAGCCCTATTTCATTCATGAAGCCAGTAACCCATGCACCTAGTTGCTCAAGCCAGAAACCTGGGAGTCATCCTTGCATCGCCCACTTTCTCAGCCCCATATCCAATCCACCAAAATCTCTCTTTCATCTGTTTTCTTATCACTGACACTAGCAGTGTTCAAGTTCAAGCTACAGGTCTCTCACCTGGAGGTCTCTGAGATTTCCCTAATTGATCTATATCCTTCACACTTGCTCCTCCCCGGTTCGCTCCTCACTCTTGAGGTCAGAATGCTCTTGCTAAAGTGTAAAACTTTAGATCATGCCACTCCCTGGTTCAAAACTTGTCAGTGGCTTCCTACTACCTTTAGGCTACAAAATCTTGCCTGAGCTGGGCCCTTACCTCTCCAGCTTTATCCCAGGTCACTCTCCCCCTTGATCCTATGGTGCAGAGCACCTGGCACATAATAAACATTCAACGCACATTTGCTGAATGAACGAATGTGACATTTCACCACCCATCAGTGAACTAAATGCCTCAGAAACCATGGAGACTGTGGTTCAAGTGGACAAAAGCCTTCAGGCCCACCCTGTAGGGCTTCTGTGCTACCCAGGACTGGAACTCTCTCTGAGGGTGGTAGTGGCAGGGGCTTTGGTCACAAACAGGAGGCAGATGCCTTCAGGCAATTATCACTGGGCAGCCTGTCTGGCAACCTGGGCTGCAGAGGAGGGAGCCCAGGACTAAATACTGACCTCCTCAGCATTCTCCAAGTCATCTAGCCCTTCATCTTCTTCCACATCGTCAAAGTCGTCGCCATCAAAACTGTACAAGAGGAGGCCAGATAATCAGAGCATCAGTTACTAGAATCAAAGAGGGCAAAGAGTGGCTCAGCCAGTATTTAGGAGGTGCTCAATAAATATCTATAACGAGCGAATCAAACTTCTGTTCTGTTTTACTTCAGACTTACCCCATCAACCCTCAAATTTGGCTAGGACGCATTCATCATCACTGTTTCTTTTCTCTCTCTAGGCTGGATCGTTCCCATCGGCATAGAAACATTTTCCCCATCTTAAAAAACTAACAAAACCTCTCTCCTCCCAGAGAGCCCTATTTCCATGCTCTGCTTGGAAGCAAAATTCATGGATGAGTTGTCCATCGTCAGTCACCGTTTCCAATTCTTTTCTTCCCGTTCTGTCATAATTTCTCTTCAAGAAGACATCCATCCCCACGGCTCCATCAAAACCACTCCTTTCCAGTTTGTGGCTGATTTTTATATTGCTGACCAACGGACTATTCTTGTTCCCATTTAGCTTGACCTTTCAGTGGTACACACTAGACCGCTGCCTCTCGCTCAATACACTCTCCTCACTCTCTTGGTCCCCCCGCCCCACTGGCTGCTCCTTCGCTCCTTTCTCTTCTTCGCCATCCGCAAGCACTGCCTGTTGGAATGCGCTAGCGCTCAGGCATCACCCCTTCTCTACTGACGCTCCCCCTGATGATGTCACCTGTTTCTCAGTTTTGACTGATATACTTCCGCTGACCACTCCCCTATTTTTATCTTCAGAACGAACCTCTGCTCCCGCCTCACACATCGGGAAATCTTTTTGGCCCCAGCTTCAAAATACATCCAGAATTCAAAACCACTTCTCACTACCTGTGCTACGGTCGACTACGACCTCTGCTGGACCTTCTCCCACCTGGACGGCTGCAGCCTTCCCAGACCCTCCTCTGAAGTACCGGTACTTCTATACAGTAAGTCCTCACTTAACGTCAACGACAGGTTCTGTGACTTGAAGCAAAACGGTGCATGACGAAACCAACTTTACCATAGGCTAATTGATATAAACAGGGGTTAAGTTCCTACAGCTTCTCATCAATGTTGGAACAAAACGTTCTTCGAGAACCCGCTGTACTACGTACTTCTACTGCCTAATCTCACACGACCCTGCGTTATCTGTTTATGGGCCTGTCCCCTCTTCTAGAAGGGGGCACATGGAGAGCAAGGGCTATATCTAATACACCTCAATATTCCCAATACGAGGCACAGAACTCGGCGCAGTGGAGTTTGCTGCAAGACACCTTTATCACTGATCCTTTCTGGACCCCAGGGCCTGTACCTTTCTGTGCCCAGTTTCTGGCTATGTTTTTGGTTCCCCGCCCTTCCCTTCTCCAGTTCCGCGGGCCCCCTCAGCAGTCCCAGTCCCCTCGGATACTGTCCCTCCACGCCTGGGTTCTCAGCCTCCTTGGACCCAGGCTCCCGCTTCCCCCGCTCCTTCTGAGGCTCCACAAAGGCCACTTGGCCCCCTCACTCACTTGTCCTCATTGTCTGACATGACGCCCGCACAGCAGTGACTCGGTTCTGCGCCCCAGACCCACACAGGGACCCGCAAACAGCGTGCGCGTCCGCCCCGCACCGCGACACGCGTACTCAGCGCCTGCGCCGTGACCCACAGGCAATCACTTCCGGTAGGCAGACTGGTGTGGTAAGAGTGCGCATGCGAAGAGAGGCGCGCTCGTTACCATGGTAGCCAGAGCGTCTAGCTGCGGGCTCTGGACGCCGAGGTCTCAAAGTGTTTCTGCACGGCCTCCGGCGTGAGGCCGCGGTAGAGCCGTGCTTTGGTCTCCGGAGCCCAGCCGCCGCTCTCTGTGGGAAGGGGCGCACCCAGCCGGGGGTCTTACTTTAGCGTGAGGTTTCAATTTTGGCGTAACACTCAGCAGGCTTCATAGAAGCGCTTTATCTTGCAGTGATGATGAAAGAATCCTAACTGACTAAATTCCAACAGCTATCTTAAGGCCCTCTTCCTCCCCAAAGGCCTTCCTTGCCACAAGCACCAGGTCAAGATGAGGTCTCCTTTCGTGTGTGTGTGTGTGTGTGTGTGTGTGTGTGTGTGTGTGTGTGTGTGTCTGTCTGTCTGTCTGTCTGTCTGTCTGTCTATCTGGTCCGGGTGGGAGGGCAGGGCACTTGGCAATAGATTCTCTTGCAGCCCGACTTCGCTCCCAGACTTTGGGGGAGCGGTGCAGGAGTAGAGATGGGACCTGAGAGACAGAGGGTGTGTCATCGTGGTTTTTCCCTCCAGGGCCCTGCCATGGCTTCCCAGGAGAAGATGGAGGCAGTGACCAAAGGATCGGGGCTCTGGAGCTGCCCCAAGCCAGCCACTTACACCCCTGGGACCTGTGAGCTCCTGAGAGGTCAGTGTGCTTCAAGGACAGAAGAGCGGTGGTAACAATTACCCTCTGTAACTCAGGTCTCCCCTTCATGACCTGTGGCTTAGCAATTGCTATTTTCATTTTACAGAAAGATTCAGGTCCTATAACTTGCAAGTGGCCAAAAGCCAAAGAACCAAGGATTTTAGAGTAGTTAACACCTGTGCATTCCTTAGATCACACTTTCATTTTCCCCTGGGAAGCTTTATCTCCCCCGCCACCCCGCCACCACAGTGGAACCAACTGCTATGTGACTAAAAACCTTTTTCTTCACTGGACTTAGTGCAACCTGTAGTCAGATATTCAGTGTGTCCCATTGGATCAGTCTATCCCTCCATCTATCCCTCTAGCCTGTGAACTCCAGCAGTGCTGGGACTGTTCCTGTTTTGGCTCACCATTACAGCTCCAGCCCCTGGCACATGGTTAATGCTTATTCCTTCACTCACTCGCTTATTCATTCATTCAATTTTTTTTTTTTTTAGATTTTTTTATTGGGGTATTGGGGGTATGGGGACAGTGCTGGGGAATTGGGGGAACGGGAACAGACAAGTTGCTGTCGTTTTTTTTGTTCTTCAGTCTAGTTGTGGAGGACGTTGCTTCACTGGCCCAAGTTGGCACCATCATTGCGCTCTTCCCGGGCGAGGCAGATCAGTCGCCGGCTTCTGGACGGCCGCTCACGCTGGCTGCTGGCTACACACGGTAGCCCATGGCAACCCACTGCAGCAGGGGCTGCAGCCTATGCCGCCGGGGACTCATGGCAGCCCAGCTCCAGGTTGAGCTGTTGTTCAGCATCTTAGCTGTGGAGGGCAGTGTCACTGGTCCTCATATGTGGGATCCGAACCGGGGCCTCTGGCATCCCAAGCCAGTTTTTAACCATCGCGCCACTCGGCCGGCCCCATTCATTCAATTTTTTAAGCCCACTATGTGCTTTAGACATTGTTCCAGGTAATATGGATACAGCATTAAAAAACAAACAAAAAAACAGTAAAAATGTTGGCGCTCATGGAGCTAATATCCTAGTAGGAGGGTAACAAATAATAAATAAGTAAAATGTGTAGAACTTAGATGGCGATGAGTGCTACAGGAAAAAACAAAACAGGAGCAGAAGAGGGAGTACTCAGGTACAGAATGGGGTAGGAGGTGATACAATGTTAAATTTCAGTGAGTGAGATGAAGGCTCAGGAGGCTTCACAGAAGTGCTTTATCTTGCAGTAATGATGAAGGAATCCAGACTGACTAAATTCCAACAGCGCCACATCATGGACACCATGAAAAGTAAGAGGCAGTCCACAGAGGCTTCCTGGGCAGAGGGATTCCGGGCCACGTTTTTCATGCTCCTCCATGTTAACGGGTAGGGGACATCATTTTAAAAGACCCCAATAGTATAGTGTAGTATTTTTCACCCTTGCATCTGGGGAATTGACCTTGAGGGGCCTTTGTTTCTTCCCCCAGACACAGGTCCTGGCACAACAACCAGCCTCCTGAAGTTCGGCTCTAGCCGACCTTCCCAAGAGATCACAGCCCAGTCGAGACTTCCTGTCCAGCCAAAATAGTCTCAAAACTGTCCTGTCTGCAATCTATTCCTCCGTTAAACACATACTCTATGAGCTCTCCAGAGGAAAGGACTGTGTATGTGTCTCATTTGTCGTTTTATTCATTCATAGCTTAGCTAGCAGAAAGAAGAAAACTGGCTGGAGCAGAATTCCAGCTTAGGAAGATCATGCAAAACCTTTCCGTAGCTCACCTCTGACCACACATTGCATGATTTTTTTATATATATTTTTTTAATTGGGGAATTGGGGGAGGGGAACAGCGCTGGGGAATCAGGGGAAGGGAAATAGACAAGTTGCTGTCATTTTGTTCTTCAGTCTAGTTGTGGAGGATATTGCTTCACTGGCCCAAGCTGGCACCATCATTGTGCTCTTTCCGGGTGAGGCAGATCAGTCGCCGGCCTCTGGACGGCCGCTCACAGCGGCTGCTGGCTGCTCATGCTGGCTGCTGGCTACACATGGTAGCTTATGGCAGCCCACTGCAGCAGTGGCTGCAGCCTACGCCGGCACCGGCGACCCACAGCAGCCCAACTCCAGGTCGAGTTGTTGTTCAGCATCTTAGCTGTAGAGGGCAGTGTCACTGGCCCTCATATGTGGGATCC